ATGTGAGATGGCAATATTTAAAGACGCCAAATAAGGGAGCTACCTACTAAACACATACACGTCATAACGGTAATATTTACTTACCTGATCGCCGCCGTTCCCTCTGCGGTGATCAGCTTTGCTCCAGGTGTGAGGGGACTGCCTGACAGCCCAGACAGCCCCCCCCCCCTCGGTGAATTAGGCACCCGCGGCCATGTGATTGCTCTAACAGAGCGGTCACATGATCACAATAGGACTTTAGTATCCAAATAGTAAAAGGAATGGCAGCACTCACAGTCTTCTGATCCTAAAGAAAGTCCCATTTAGGGACTGAAATGTCGATCCATGTATTAAATCTTGCTCATAAAAGAAGATTTCAAGTGAAGACCGAGAGTGCTGCCATTCCTTTTAATATATATATATATATATATATATATATATATATATATATATATATAAAAACAGTAGAGAGCACTCAGGAGTCTTTCAAAGTAAATTTCATCTATTGCTTTATTGAGCAATTACAGATTCACACAACGTTCCAGTCGACGTTTCAGACTAAGGCGTTTTAGCAGCGCCAAAAGGCGCATTAGGCAGGCTTCCATTTAGTCTTTTAATCACTACACAATTTTTTTTCTTCACTTTGATTATGGTGGGAAGATTGGTGTGGGTAATCGAATGAGGGTAATACCCTCGTGCATATGAACCTTTTTCGTGTTAACCGGCATCCATGCAGTCATGATACTTTAGGTTGTTATAGAGTATACAATAATTGATACATGGCTACATTGTATCTATTTAGATACAGAATAAACTCTTAACCACTTATAGAAGTAGCTTTAGAGGCTAGGCAGCATTATTATAATTGAAAATTATAAGTGCGGTGTAAGTGACAAGAGACTTATACCAGTAAGTGGAGCGCTTTAACACATATAGCTTACCAACTGGTTTCTCATTCAGTATTAAAGTATAGGGTACATGTCAAAAGAGAAATATAAAAGATACAATATAGTGCAGATGGTTTTAAGACAATAAAATTGTATTAAAATTAAAGTGATAGTGTCTTGATAAATGGAACACTCACATTTTTAGGAGCCTGTATATAAGAACACTGGCTCCGTATTTTGACTTGTGTGCTTATATTGGGTAGCACCGCCTGTCTCCTTCGGTATAGGGTGTTTCTCAAAGACAAAAAATTTGGAGAAGCAGACCAATGTGTAGTTGGTGTTTGTGAAACACAGTATTTATAGAAATAAGTGGTGTGCTCACCTGATCCTGAGCCTGTGGGTCCCGGCTCTAGGTATATGGGTGTTGTACCAATTTGAGTGGGGATGGTACTACCCCTAGGAAGATACTCTCGAGGTTTCCAAAAAAGGACTTAAAAGGATCTTGAATGAAAGGTAACAAGTTTATTTAAGTATAAAACAAAAAATAAACAATGGTTGTAAAAAAGTCCTTAATAAAAAGTCCTTTTAAAATAGCCAATACACATTTCACTCCTTGCTGTGGAGCTTTCTCAGTCAGCTGTGATGTTTGGTCCTCAAGATCTTCCATTTTAAATGATTTTTGGGGTCCTCCCCTTTAATGGCTTCAATCCATAATGTCCAATCACAGTAATGGTTGTATATCCTTAATATAGTATATTCTGTGTGTATATCTTTAATTGGACATCGTACTTGACGCCTTTATTGCCTTTGGATTTCACTGGTGGATGTGTGGTGGTTGGCGGAAGTGCTCCGCTTGTGTCCGGACGGTTGGCGGAAATGACGTCACGGACCCACGTGATCTTCATTCCGCCGCCGCCCGGAAGTTCCCTATCTCCTTTTGTCATGACGTTCGCCCCCCCCCGGATCCACTTTTTTCCCCAAGTATTTAATCTCAGGTGAAATGGCCACCTTCGATAAAATGGTGATGGCAGACATTAATAAACTAAAAAAAGCTAACCATTACCAACAAAATCTCAAAAAAGATGAATATAGGGTCCTAAAAAAATTACACAAAGACAATGAAATTGTTATTAAACCTGCGGACAAGGGAGGGGGAATAGTCATTTTAAATATCAATGACTACCACACGGAAGGTACAAGATTATTGACAGATCACATCACGTATACAAAACTAAAAGGTGATCCAACAAGTGGAATTAAAAACAAATTTTCAGAACTTATTGAAAGGGGTCTACAGAAGGAGATCCTGAACAAAAAGGAATTCAACTATCTGAATATAATTCACCCTAAGATCCCGGTGTTTTATTACCTCCCTACATAAAAACCCAGAACAACCACCTGGCAGACCAATAGTCTCAGGTATTAACTCCATATCATGTAGACTTTCGGAGTATGTGGATAAATGCCTTCAACCAATAATACAAACTATCCCAAGTTATTTAAAAGATACAGGAAGTATCCTGAGGCACCTACAAACCCTCAAATGGGAACAGGATTACTAAATATCAATTATTTTCGGCTAGAGTTTGTATTTGATTCTCCTATACACAGCTGCCACCTCTTATGTTTAGGGTACAGCCAAAAGTACAAGATAGCACTCCAGGGACTTCCAAGTTGAATGAATAAAACTTAGCTTTTATTAGCTCAAAATAAAAATCAACGTTTCAGTCTGTATCACAGACTTTCATCAGGATGAGCTTGCAAATCAAATCCATAAGAATATATACCCTCAGTATTCCCTTAACTTACCCAGGTTGAGGATAGGAGTGATCCCAGGGGCACCTGACCAGCAGCCTGCTCAGGTCAAATGATTGACACTGATGATGTCATAGACGTGCGCCTCCCGGGGTCGTTCCCATAGCAACTGTAATGACGCTGATTCCAGGATTACGTCACAGCCCAGCTGCCAGCCCACTGCAGGGCAAACAGTCAGACACAGTCAGATGCACAGTTACACACATATACTGTTAAATACAGCCATATGCACACAGTCCCACACACATAGTCACTTGCACATTAGTGATGTCGCGAACCCGAAATTTTCGGTTCGCGAACGGCGAACGCGAACTTCCGCAAATGTTCGCGAACCGGCGAACCGCCCGAAACGCCATTGACTTCAATGGGGAGGCGAATTTTAAAACACACAGGGACTCTTTCTGGCCACAATAGGGATGGAAAAGTTGTTTCAAGGGGACTAACACCTGGACTGTGGCATGCCGGAGGGGGATCCATGGCAAAACTCCCATGGAAAATTACACGGTTGATACAGAGTCTGGTTTTAATCCATAAGGGCAGAAATCACCTAACATTCCTAAATCACAATGAATATGGATTGACACCTGACATATGACATATTGACACCTTGACATATGGATTGACACCTGTCCTCAGAGCCCCTGATGCACACGGACACAGAGCAGAATAGAGACTGGTCCCCCAACATAGGGTCACTTGGCAGATATGGATTGACACTTGTCCTAAGGATCCCTGATACACACTGGCACAGAGCAGAATAGGGACTGTTCCCCCTACATCGGGTCACTTGGCAGATATGGATTGACACCTGTCCTAGGGTTCCCTGGTACACACTGACACAGAGCAGAATAGGGACTGGTCCCCCTACATCGGGTCACTTGGCAGATATGGATTGACACCTTGTTACAAACTGCTATTTGTAACGGACCCTTTAAATGGCAAATTGCCCTGCTTCCCTGGGTTGTGGAGAAGCCTATTTGCCAGCCTCCTCCCGCATGACTATGGCCCCTGGGAGATTGTGAAAATGTATGCACTTTTATTTGGTGTGTATGGCCCTTTAAGACTGTCGGTGGGCATATTGGGGCTTATGGACTCTTTATGTGACTGGTGCTGGCCCTTTAAACACCTTTTTGGGACATCAGGGAGATTGGGACACTGCCCCTTTAAGGCCGTGTCCCCAGACTTGTTGGGGACACGGCCCCTTTAAGACGGTGTCCCCTGTGTCCCCAGACCTGGTGCAAACCCTTTGTGCCTGCCTTGCTATTTCCCACTTGGTTCGGTAAATGGGAAATTATTTCAGCTGCAGAGACTAAGTCCCATTCGGCGATGGGACTTAGTCTTTTTT